AAAATAAAATAAAATTTAACCACTAACCAAAATAATAATAAATAATCTAATTTTTAATATTAATAAAACATGTCATGACTACTGATAAAGTCCTCTTAGTGGACTGTTGTGATTGCAGAGTTGATTGAAGAAGGAAATGGAGCAGGAAAACAATTAGGATTTGAGGAGAAAATGAAAGAGGAAAAGAATGAACAAGACGAGGATGAATTGGGGATAAAAGACGAGGTCCAAACACGTGGCGAGCACTCGGTGCTTCTTGAAGGAGTGAACGTGGCGTCGAGTCAACAAGTCCAAGGAAATGGTTGACCAGAATTTGAATTAATGTTTATTTAATTAAGAGAAATGTTTTCTCTTTTATTATTAGTAGAAAATTGGCATGTGGGCCAAATGGTTATATGTATGGGGAACATTATGAAAAAGTTATCAGAAATCAGTTACGATATTCTCTTTTCTCTCTGATGTCGCTTTCCCTCACCCTCTCTCCAAAGTCTCTCTCTTCTAACTTCATCATCTTCCTTACTAAATTATCTTAAATTTACAGAAAAATCATAAAAAATTACAAATATTAAGGATCCACAACAATTGGTATCTAGAGCAGCTCATCCTCGGCCATGGCAGAAGGAACCCGTCTCAAAGAGCTGCAAGAAGCACAAAAAAGAATCGATCAAGTGTTACAAACAGAGTCACTCAAAAGAGAAGCTTCAGAGCTTAAGTTACAGGAGCAAATCTCATCTATTGGCAATCAAGTGCAGGAACAACTGACAGACATTACCAACAAATATGATCATCTCACAAATACCATGGCAGCTATCTAGTTACAACTACTCAACATCAACAAACCAAATGGAGAAGGAGAATCAATCCTGGTAAATCTCGGGACACAGAAGTTCAAACTCCTTTTCACAGCAAAGACAGGGATCAGAAAACTCAAACCCTTATCCTCAAAACCCTATGCCTATGGTGGATTTTCCTAAATTTGATGGCACTAATCCCAGATCTTGGATCCTGAGATGCAACACCTACTTCAAACTAGTCCCAAACATCCCTGACAGTCAAAGGGTACACCTAGCCTCTATGCACCTAGGGGGAAGGCAACCCTTTGGTACCAGAATTTCATCTCTAAGCAAGGTGATCTAACTTGGGTTCAATTTCTTGAGGTGGTTTCAGCCAGATTTGAGGAGCTTAAGGAATCTAAAATAATAGCTGAATTCAACAAATTGAGGCAGACTGGGAGTTATTCTGATTATGTGGATAAATTTGAAGAGCTGAGGGCTTGTATGCTCTTAATGAAGGAAAATGACTACAGTGAGGAGTATTTTGTAGCCAGCTTCATCAGTGGGTTGAGTGATGAACTTCAATCCTTCATTACTATGTTTGATCCAAAGACATTGCAACAAACTGTGGAGTTAAGCAGGAAACAGATACACAACTTGGATGCTATCACCAGAAAATTGAAGCCATCTAACAAAGGTCCTAATGCTTCTTTTCAAGGAGTGAGAAGATTGGAACCCTTACCAAACAATCCCACAAAACCTAGCCAACTAAGGCCTCCTGTCAAACTGTTTACCTCAGCTGAAATGGCATCTAGAAGGGAAAAGGGGCTTTGCTATAACTGTGATGAGCCTTTCATTTATGGTCACAAGTGCAAAAACAGGACCACTTATATGATTATGACTGAGGAAGAAGAGCTTAACTGTGTGAATGAGCTAAGGGAAGAAAGGCCATGGGAGGAAGAGGCACTGGAGGAGGTACACATGACTCTCAGTGCTATAAGTGGTGAAGAGGGATTAACTACTATGAGGGGCCAGGGATGGTGTGACAAGGAGAAATTACATATCCTAATTGACACTGGAAGCACCTTGAGCTTCATACAAGAAGATACTGCCAAAAGATTGAGAGGGAAGATAGTACCAGCAAAACCTATCCTAGTGAGAGTTGCTAATGGCCAAAAGCTGGTGAGTTCCCAGAGAATGGATAACTTTAAATGGGTGATGCAGGGACAGGAATTCACTTATTCCCCAAGATTGCTGGCCACTGAAGTATGTGATTTGATTTTAGGTGGTGACTGGCTCAAGTCATGTACTCCAGTGCAATTTGACTATGACCACATGACTTTTACAGTCAGGAAGAGTGAAAGGAAGGTCAGAATACAAGCCCTAACTTCTACTATGGGCTGCAAACTTATTTCAGCTCCTACACTCTGCAAATTAACTCATCAAGACTTGGAGTCTGAAATTGAAGCCATTTATTTGGTGACTAATACTCAGAACACCACAACACCACCTGCAGAGTTAAGGGAGTTATTGGACTCTTACAAAGATGTGTTTCAAGAGCCTCAAAACCTGCCCCCTGAAAGGGGAATTGAACATCAAATTCTTCTGAAACCCAACAGCCTACCCAAACAACAGTTCCCTTATAGAACTTCTCATATCCACAAGGAAGAAATTGAAAAGATCATTAAGGAGATGATGGGATTTGGAATCATACAAGATAGCAAAAGTCCATTTGTTGCTCCGGTGATCTTGGTCAAAAAGAAGGATGGCACCTGGAGGTTATGTGTTGACTACAGATACCTAAATGAGCTAACCATCAAGCACAACTACCCTATACCTATCATTGATGAGCTCTTAGATGAACTAAATGGGGCAAAACATTTCTCCAAGATTGACTTGAGGTCAGGATATTTCCAAATTTTGTTGAAACCTGAGCATAGGCCACTTACAGTCTTTAGAACTCATAGTGGACACTATGAGTTCTTAGTGATGCCATTTGGGCTTTGCAATGCCCCAGCAACCTTCCTGTCCTTAATGAACCAGGTTTTTAGAGAGAATTTAAGAAGATCTGTGCTAGTCTTCTTTGATTATATACTAATATATAGCCCTACTTGGGAAGACCATCTCCAACACTTAGGTGAGGTGTTACAGTTGCTGAGGAAGAACAAGCTATTTGCCAAGCAAAGTAAATGCCAATTTGGGCAAGCCAAAATTGAATACCTGGGGCACATCATCTTTCAGGAAGGAGTATCAACTGACCCTTCTAAAATTGAGAGTATGACCAGGTGGCCAACACCAACCACAGTTAAACAACTAAGGGGATTCCTTGGACTGTCAGAGTATTACAGGAAATTCATTAAAGGTTATGGGCAGATTAGCAGACCTCTTACATGCTTACTTAAGAAGGATGCTTTTCAATGGGGTAAAGAGGCAGAACACTCTTTTCAGGAGCTGAAGAAGGCCATGACCACAGCACCAGTGCTAGGACTCCCTGATTTCACAAAAACCTTTGTATTGGAGACTGGTGCAAGTGGCAGTGGGATTGAAGCAGTACTCATGCAAGAGGGAAGGCCCCTAGCTTACATGAGCAAGGTACTATGCCCTAGGAATCAAGCACTCTCCATCTATGAGAGAGATTTTTTGGCAGTATTCATGGCTGTACAGAAGTGGAAGCACTATCTTCAAGGAAAGAGGTTCATCATCAGAACAGACCAACAATCCTTGAAATTTTTGCTAGACCAGAAGATCAGCACCACAATGCAACAAAAATGGATGATGAAATTGTTGGGGTTGGACTATGAAATACAGTACAGAAGGGGTGCTGAAAACCGAGCAGCAGATGCATTGTCAAGGAAAGGGGAAAATAAGGTGGTGGCCTTGACAGCCTTGTCTGTGGTAACACCCAAGTGGGTGCAACAAGTGATGGATAGCTACGTGGGGGATGAATTCACAAAGAAGATCTTGGCTGCTAATACCTTAGACCCAAATTCCTATCCTGAATTCAGTATTACTAATGGGCTTATAAGGTACAAAGGAAGACTGTTGATAGGGAACAATTCTCACCCAAGGAAGGGCATTATATCTGAAGTACATGACACAGCCTATGGGGGTCACTCAGGAATTCATGGCACCCTGTCTAGACTACAAAGGACATTCTACTGGCCTAAGATGAGACAAGATGTACTTAATTGGGTCAAGCAATGTGATGTTTGTGCCAAGAGCAAATCAAATAGTGGGGCATACCCTGGGCTTTTACAACCTCTGCCAGTACCTGACCAAGCTTGGAGCCACATCTCATTGGATTTTGTTGAAAGACTTCCTAATTCAGGGGGAAAAACTGTCATTTTGGTGGTGGTGGACAGACTAACTAAGTATGCCCACTTCATAGCTATGTCACATCCCTACACTGTCCAAACAGTTGCTCAGCTATTTCTTGACCACATTTATAAACTACATGGGCAGCCAGTTAGTTTGGTTTCAGATAGGGACAAGGTTTTCACTAGCACATTTTGGAAGGAACTGTTCAAGCTTATGGGCACTTCTCTAGACATGGGTCCTGCCTACCACCCTCAAACCGATGGTCAAACAGAGAGAGTGAATCAATGTCTAGAAAATTACCTAAGGTGTATGACACATTGCCACCCCAGGAAACGGGCAAAGTGGTTGCCCTTAGCTGAGTACTGGTATAATACCAATTACCAAAGCAGCCTGAAAATGACACCCTTCAAAGCCTTATATGGCTATCAACCTACCAACCTAGCACTGGACCAGTACTTGGGAGCACAAAACACAGAAGTGAAAGATTTTCTACAATTCAGACAGCAGCTAATTCAGGAAATCAAAGAGAATTTAATCAACTCACAGTCAAGGATGAAACACTATGTAGATAAACACAGACAAGAAAGGGTGTTCGCAGCTGGGGATTTTGTGTATTTAAAGCTCCAACCTTTCAGACAAAATTCGGTTTATCTAAGGAAGAACCTCAAACTAGCTGGAAGATACTATGGTCCCTTTGAAATTCTAGAAAAGGTGGAGCCAGTGGCTTATCGACTAAAGCTGCCAGAAGGATCTAAGATCCACCCAGTTTTTCATGTTTCCTTACTGAAGAAGCAAATCGGGAAAGAGTTTGTACCTGAGGCTGATTTACCTTCCACTGATGCTGAAGGAAGTTTCAAGGTTGAACCTTTAGAGGTGCTTGATAAAAGGCAGGTTCGGCGCGGTAAGGAAATGGTGGAGCAAGCCTTGATTAGTTGGGCTGGCATGGGGCGTAACTTCACATCTTGGGAAGATTCGAGCTTTATTCGCAGCAAGTTCCCTACTTTTTATCCTTGCGGACAGGGATCTTCAGATCCGGCGGGAATTGTTGTGATTGCAGAGTTGATTGAAGAAGGAAATGAAGCAGGAAAGCAATTAGGATTTGAGGAGAAAATGAAAGAGGAAAAGAATGAACAAGACGAGGATGAATTGGGGATAAAAGACGAGGTCCAGACACGTGGCGAGCACTCGGGGCTTCTTGAAGGAGTGAACGTGGCGTCGAGTCAACAAGTCCAAGGAAATGGTTGACCAGAATTTGAATTAATGTTTATTTAATTAAGAGAAATGTTTTCTCTTTTATTATTAGTAGAAAGTTGGCATGTGGGCCAAATGGTTATATGTATGGGAAACACTATAAAAAGTTATCAGAAATCAGTTACGGTATTCTCTTTTCTCTCTGATGTCACTTTCCCTCACCCTCTCTCCAAATTCTCTCTCTTCTAACTTCATCATCTTCCTTACTAAATTATCTTAAATTTACAGAAAAATCATAAAAAAATTACAAATATTAAGGATCCACAACATGGACCAAAGTCTAAGTATAAGGAGGTCTAGCCGAGACTTGAAGGAAAGGGCGATCTATGTATAAGATAGTCTGAGGAGAATAAGTATAAGGATGTCTAGGCGAGACTTGAAGGAAAAGGGCGACATAGATATGAGGTAGTCTAAGGAAACTAAGTATAAGGAGGTCTAGGCGATACTTGAAGGAAAGGGGGCGACCTATGTATGAGGTAGTTTGGGGTGACTAAGTATGAGGAAGTCGAGGTGTTCTGAAGAGACTAAGTATAATGAGGTTTCTGTGACTAAGTACGAGTAGGTCTCTGTGACTAGGTGTGAAGTGTTCGAGGGCGACCTATGTATGAGGTAGTTTGGGGTGATGACTAAGTATGAGGAAGTCGAGGTGTTCTGAAGAGACTAAGTATAATGAGTAGCAATGTCAAACGGGCCGGTCCGGTCTGGCCCGCTCTGGCCCGCGCTGGCCCGTGGTTCAAACGGGGCGGGGCAAAATGGCCCGCATTTCTACGGGCTGGAAAATCCATGGCCCGTGGCCCGCCCTCATTAGCCCGCGGGCCAAATCGGCCCGCCCGCGGGTTTTTTAGTATTATGCACTCTTATATACTTTTTGGTTTATTTATCCTTATATTTACTAGTATATTAATAAACTAGTAAGGCTTCATGTGTAATGATGTTAAATATTTGTCATCCATTGTACCAAAAAACAAAAAAAAAAAAAATTGTCATCCAGTTTTTATTTTTATTTTTTTTATGAATAGTTATAGGGTATTGACGCGGAGGAGAGACTTAACTCACATAAAATATTATTTGATTCATTAATATTTTTATTATGTATAAAAGTGTTTCATGTGCATTCACAATTCTTAATATCATTGTCAAATTTTAAAAAATATAAAATAAATAAATATGGAAGAAGAAGAAGAAGAAAAAAAGACGATAAAAACAAACTCCTACAAAATGCACATGAAATAAGAAATATTAAATTTAAATAATATAAAATTAACAAACCCGCAATTAAACGGGCTGGCCAAGCAAAGGCCCAAGCCCGTCCATTTAGGCGGACTGACGGGCCAGCCCGCGGGCCATGGCCCGTTTTGACAGTGCTAATATTGAAGTCTATGTGACTAAGTACGAGTAGGTCTCTGTGACTAGGAGTGAAGTGTTCTGATCCACACGATACATATTAAATGATATGAAGTATAATTGTTATTATTATATATTGATAGATATCATGAATATTCAAATAATCTAGAATTAAAATTGTATAAAATTAGAGTCCAATACACAATTTAAGAATATATATAGTTTGGTTCTTAATATTGGTTATTCGGTTCAGTATTATATGAGAGCGTTTAGTTTAGTCATGGATATGAATATTTGTGAAATCTCTGAAATTGTACTAAATATTATTTTAATTTCGTTCGATTTGAAGAAAGTCAAATATTCAACAATTATTTCACCGTTAGGTTCAATTTTCGGAGTGGTCCGGTTTTTTTAGTCTCTTGCTCACCCCTTAGGAATACCATGCTTATGTAATATTTTTATTCATTATATATATTTATAATATTGATTTACATAATTAATTTATTTCAAATAATAAATTTATTAACTTAACAGTAGTAGTTTGTTTAAAATAGTAAATGTACGATTGTTTTAGTTGATAATCTATGAATATTTAAACTTTATTCGTGATAAATAAATGTTACTAGTAATTAATTATAAATTTATTAACAATAGTCTAGAGATTTAAGAACAAAAATAGGGTGTAATGTTTTTTTAAATAAATTTATGTATAATTGTGCTAAATATAACTAATTGTAAGAATATTAAAATAAAATACCATCTATAAAAGTTCTTCGATCCTCAAAGTTCTTATTTTTGAGATTTTCAAAGCCTTTTGGGAAAAAAATTAAATCTGGAATAAAAATATAAATCTATAGCACTCTTCATCAAACATCTAAAATAGATGATATGAGGATTTTTCTTTTCTTTTTCGGAATGATAAAGATATTATAAACCGCACAAAGGTACAAAAAAAACCAACCCAAAAGCTGAAAGATACAACCAATTGCTGAAAAACTAAAAGGACAGATTCGAAGATCGCCTAGAGTCTAACTAGCAATGCTAAACCAACACACTCACAACACAACACAACAAAGCTACAAAGCTCCCAGACAGAAGAATAAACGATCCCACCGAGATATTACCCACTCTCACTCGGGCATAAACAGAGGCCAAAGGCCCAAACCAAAAACACAAATCCTACCAAACAAACCAAAAGAAAAACTGCCGAAAACCGCTTAACTGAAATAGAAATCCAAGCCCTGAACCCAACCTGAGAGTCGACCCGTCCCCTCGTCGAAGGAAACCAAACTCGCCCCCTATACCACCATTGTCCCGAACCGACCAACACCACTAGCCGAAACAGCAGCACCAGTCTCCCCCGAACCCACCAACAGGGAAACAGGAGAAAGGGGAGCGAGAGAGGCTCCTCAACCCCAGCTACCCCGACGGGAGCCGCTCGAGCCACTAAAACCACACCCCATCTAATCGCCACCACAAACTCAAGAAGGCAGATGGCCAGACCGCAACCCAACACCCAAAACGCGCGACCGAACACAGAAGACCGACCCCATCCATCGGCGCAATTGAGACGAAGGAGCGCGCATCAAGGCCAAGACCGTGCAGCCAAGGGCCGACAGCTGGCAGAAGGCCCAACCACTGTTGCCTTCACATATTGAAACGCAATGGCGGAAGAGAGGAAAGGGAAAGGAGAGAAAAAATAGGGTGACATACGGCCCTGATAATATGAGGATTCAAATCTCTAATTTAAGATCAAAATATTTTTTTTTTTCCACATCAAAACACTTGTTACCATACACATCCGAGACTTTAAAATTCATAAAATCGGTTAGTTTAAATTATATATTTTAAGAACTAATAGATATTTTTTTATCGGTTTGTTATATACATCAAATTAATTATCTTTAACAATCTTCAGTTTGATATTCATTTAGTATAAATAAAATAAAAAAGACGTATATGTAGGCTTATATTTAAAATTAAGTCATTTATCAGTTATAATTGGAAAAATAATAAATATTTATGTACTAGTTAAATAAATTTATTTATCAATCTTAATTTTTAAACCAATGTGGTTAATAATTATCATGACCATGTGTAACAACATATGGCTTTTAAAAATATAATAATGCAGTATTCAAGATGTATTAAAATAACACAAATTTTTGTATGAGACGTCTAACGGTTAAGCGGGTCAACTCATTATTATTTTTTAAACAAAATGTATACTAATGTTATAAAATATCATACATTTTGTTTATGTCATTTTTTAAAGTATGTAATTTCAATTCGAATGTATACATTTATGTTGAAAAAATATGTCTACCTAACTGTTGGACTTGCCTATTGTTCGATTTATATGATATGAATGAAACAACCTAGTTGGATGATATCATGAAACATATATCAGCCGTTGGTACAACCTAACAAGTGGTAAATAAATTGATGAACGGAAGTACAGAAGTGGATAAATTTGAGATACAAAAGATTATTACGCAATGTGATTAATGGGTGAGTCAGTGATTAATACGTAATAGATTTATGAAACCAACATCCTACACTGTTTAACAACCAGATGAAGAAATCAAACTGAAAAAGAGGAGGAAAATGGTGTATGATAAAATCTCACAAATGCAAACTCTGACAGATCTCTACATCGATTAGCGTGCCGCCGTTCCTTCCTCCATTCCGTCGCTGTCTTCCTCCGCCTTTCTGTACGCAACTCAGTGGCTAATTTGTAAGTTTATACCTATTAGGTTTCATCCCCTCTAAATTCCGCAAAATTTCCGTGATAGAAGTCCCAAATAGATAAAAAGTGCTTGCAATAATAATAATAACAATCTTATCTGAAAAAAAAAATAATTCATTTAGGATTGGCAGAGCGAGAATCAGGTGGGCAAGAAAATGGCTACTGATAAAGGTGCCGTGATCGAGCACAGATCCTACGCCAGGGTCGGGCTACTGGGCAACCCGAGCGATGTGTACAATGGGCGCACGATATCATTCAGCCTGGGCAATTTCTGGGCTTATGTTAGATTAGAGCCTTCGGGAAATCTCTCGATCCTTCCTCACCCAGCTCACGATCTAGTCCAATTCAATTCTCTTCCTCATTTAGTATGTTTCTCTCTCCTCTCTCTATTATTTAAGTTTCTGTTTCATAAGTGCATTTTGTTGAATTGATATATTTGCATGCATTTCTCTAAACTTTTAACTTGGATTATGCTTGAATTTGAGTAATAGAGTTTTTCGATATGGTGCATGAATTCAAAAGTTGTCATGTTTCGGTTCTAACTGTCTTGATAAGGATAATTGGTTTTTTCCAAAAAATGAATCACACCGGGAGCTAACAGATACTGAAATCGTCGTTTTTTTTGTTGTGCTTTCGGATAATGGATTCTTGAACTTCTTTTTGTCGGTTGCTGTTATTTATGCTGTAAATCTGATCCATGGATAGTGGAGATCGAACTTCAGCTGAGAAGATGGATATTAGAGGAATGCTATTGATTTCTTAAGCAAAAGTTGAATGTGCATGCTTGCTGTTGTGAAGGATGGGGTTTCTGATTTTTTCTTTAAATTCCAGAATTACAATCCTCCTTTTAAATCTCTTGATCAACAGTGTGCTGAAGTTTGGTTTAATGGAGAATTCTATGAAAGAGTTTTTGTTGGCTTGGCTCATATGTTTTGTTGTATAGGTTGATCGGTTGCAAACTGATGGTTACTATGGAGGGGTACGTCTGCTCATGGCTATTTGCAAAATTTTCCACAATTATTGCAAAGAAAATGGCATCAGTTTACATGAGGGGAACTTTACACTGTCTTACGATACTAACATTCCCCGCCAGGTAGTTGTTATACTCTTTGGTGATTATATTTCCGTTAAATGAGTTCATTACATATAAATTACTGGATTCTGTAAATTAAATGATTAATCGCCCTATTTTGTATCTTGTCAAGCACTTCTTCTCGTATATTGGTAGGACTTAATTGATTTCCTTACCTAATAATGCATTCATTTTGTTTGTGAAGTTTGTAATTACATTTGGTCATACTGCTCATTTTTATCTTTTATGTTCAATTAACTTTCTAATCTCTTCTTTCTTGGACTCAATTATTTCAGACAGGGCTTTCTGGTTCAAGTGCCATTGTCTGTGCTGCTCTTAGCTGCCTTCTTGATTTCTACCAAGTCAGGCACCTGATAAAAGTCGAAGTTCGTCCAAACCTTATCCTCAATGCAGAGAAGGAACTAGGAATTGTTGCTGGTCTTCAAGATAGAGTAGCTCAAGTTTATGGAGGCCTTGTCTATATGGTTTGTGGCTAAACTCTGGTATCTTTATTCAATAACCAAAACTATCCACAATATCTTTTCAGTATTTTGTTTTTTTATTATTTAATTTGTTGTGTTAGGATTTTAACAAAAAACACATGGAAGAATTTGGGCATGGTGAATATATAGCTATGGACGTGGATCTTCTGCCACCACTCTACCTTATCTATGCTGAAAACCCTAGTGATTCTGGCAAGGTAATAATCTCAACACTGATAACATCATTTCTTTTCCAATTTCTCCCCCTTAAAGGCAATTGCTTGTGTTTAATGCATGATGACTCTAGTCAATATTGAGAATAGCATAGAGTACTTTTGAGTTTTCACTTGTTTTCTCCTCTGTTGTGACAATTTGGTTTACACAAACCGCTCTGAGGTTTAGAATGTTTTTAATAATTTACAAATTGCACCTTTAGATGGAGTCTTTGCTATATTTATAAAAATCATTGTTGGACATTTTTTTCTTCTTTTTTTTTTCCCCTCAAAAAGTGACCATCTCATGACCAGCTCCCAAAGCATGTGTTTGATGGAGGGTTACTGTATTTGTAGGTTCATAGTACGGTTAGACAACGATGGTTAAATGGTGACGAATTCATTATATCATCAATGGAGGAAGTTGCGAGCATTGCATTGGAAGGAAGAACAGCATTGCTCGAAAAGGATTATACAAAATTTGCAAGCCTCATGAACCGTAACTTTGACCTGCGGAGGTAAGTGTATCAGTATGACCAAAACTTTGGTGTTACAGGCTTCTGAATATTATTTGGTGGGATTTCTGGTTTACTTCAGACTACTAGCTTTCAAATAAATATAATGTGTTGAGTTTCACAAAGAGAAAAAAGTACAAGTCCACTCATATGCTTTTCGTGGCCTTGGAAATAGTATTTGGTATTCTATTTTGGTCAGACAAAAATGATAGTTTAATAGTCTATATCCGTGGGTTAATTTGTGGAACAAATGATGCAGAAATATTTAAAATATCGTAAAATGATTTGAAGTGAGCTTTGACTAAGTTCAACCCTCTCAATTGGGGAAAGCGTTTGCTGTTTTCAAGGTCAAGGTTTGATCAAATGATCAAGGTTCTTGAAATTTTCATATTTCATAAACCAATCATAAAAAGAATAACTTGTTAGGCACTAATAAATGGCATATGATTTTGCTTGTAATAGACTAATAGTAGTAGGTCATCATCTTTCCTTTATTTCTCTTCCAATCTTGATGTACTTCTTTCGGATGACCTCAGTAATATACAGTACGAACTCTTACTTGTGTATTTACTATTTAGGGCTGAATTTAAGTATTTCTTT